ATGAAGATGTTGTTCAAAAGGCCTATGGGTAAGAGTGAAAGAAAAAGAGGAAGCATTTATATTGATCTATATCACAGAAAGTCAAGTTGTTGGAAAAACTTGAGAGCGATGTTTGTGTGATACATCTGGCTGAGGAATTTGCTGTTGCAACAGTCACTATCAACAACCTGACTCAGCAATTTGGTGTTTCAACAACCACTATCACCTGACTGAGCAGTTTGGTGTTGCAACAACCACTGTCTACCACTTGACTCAGCAGTTTGGTGTTGCAACAACTACTGTCTACCACCTGACTTAGCAGTTTTGTGTTGCAACAACCACTACCATCTGACTTAGCAGTTTGGGTGTTGCAACAACTGCTATCTACCACCTGACTAAGCAGTTTGGTGTTGTAACAACCACTCTCTACTACCTGACTCAGCAGTTTTCGTGTTGCAACAACTCAATCTACCACCTGTCTCAGCAGTTTGGTGTTGCAATAACCACTATCTACCATCTGACTCACCAGTTTGGTGTTGCAACAACCACTGTCTACTACCTGACTCAGCAGTTTGGTGTTGCAACAACCACTGTCTACTACCTGACTCAGCAGTTTGGTGTTGCAACAACCACTGTCTACTACCTGACTCAGCAGTTTGGTGTTGCAACAACCACTGTCTACCACCTGACAGCAATTTGGTGTTGCAGCAACCACTGTCTACTACCTGACTCAGCAGTTTGGTGTTGCAGCAACCACTGTCTTCCACCTGACTCAGCAGTTTGGCATTGCAACAACCACTGTCTACTACCTGACTCAGCAGTTTGGTGTTGCAGCAACCATTGTCTTCCACCTGACTCAGCAGTTTGGCATTGCAACAACCACTGTCTACTACCTGACTCAGCAGTTTGGTGTTGCAGCAACCACTGCCTACCACCTGACTGAGCAGTTTGGTGTTGCAACAACCACTGTTTACTACCTGACTGAGCAGTTTGGTGTTGCAACAACCACTGTCTACCACCTGACTCAGCAGTTTGGTGTTGCAACAACCACTGTCTACCACCTGACTCAGCAGTTTGGTGTTGCAACAACCACTGTCTACTACCTGACTCAGCAGTTTGGTGTTGCAGTAACCACTGTCTACTACCTGACTCAGCAGTTTAGTGTTTCAACAATCACTGTCTATTATCTGACTCAGCATTTTTGGTGTTGCAGAAACCACTATCTGCCACCTCAAGAAACAGAAGAACAAATTGTTGCAATTTTTATACTGAAAGTGATAAATAATAGTTAATGAAAAACAGAAAAATATTGTATAGAAGGAAAATTAAGATCTTGATGGTGTATTGATGGAGTTCAATTTCTCAGCATCGCAGTGAGCATATGCCACTTAATGTATGCCACTTAACGTAATGCTGTTCATGAAACAGACAAAAGTCTGTCATGATGAACTGAATATTGACAGTATCTGTAAATATTCAGCAGCTGGTTACAAAAATTTAAGAAAAGGCATAACATTAATATATTTAACCCTTTCAGGGTTGGTGCCATACTAATACGGCTTGCACGCCAGGGCTTGTGCCGTACTAGTATGCATAAATTCTAGCTCCTTCAAATAGCGAGAGAAAGCTGGTAGGCCTACATTTGAAAGAATGGGTCTGTGTGGTCAGTATGCACAGTATAAAAAAAATCCTGCAACACATAGTGCATAATGAAAAAAAAAACTCCGACTCTGTTTTTGGCTTTAAAACAGCGACATTCCAGTGTATTTTTCATATGATATTTATGGTTGCATTCTAGTTTTCCTGGTCTCATTTTATAGAATGGAAGGCATATTACAGAAATTGAGATGATTTGATTGGTTTCACAATGAAAAGTACCTTGAAATTGAGCTCAAAGTAGCAGAAATCTTCGATTTTTGCCAAATTCAAAAGTAAACAAATCATGCCATGCGTCCAATACATGTCAACTGGTGAGTCTAATATTCTTTCATAAGTGCGCTGATATATTTATACTATTTCTACACCATTTCTACACTAATGCAGTAGTCTTCATAACATAAATTTTCTATTTTTTTGTGAGAACAAAATTCAAAGTGGAAAGCAAAAAGAAATGTAAGAGGGGCCTGGGGATATGACTAATGAACAGAAGAAATGTTATTTTAGTGCCAGGAATGTCTGTCTTGTTTATTTCTGGACCCTATTTGGAAATTGGCATCTTTGAAATTTGGTGTGAAATTGGCAAAATTGTCAGTTTCTGACCACTTTATTGGATAGTTCAGATCAGTAAATGGGTGGTTTCTTGTACTCATTCAATAGAAAAAATGGAGTTCTAGCGAAATAGTCATGATTTTTGTTGACTAGATACACTGGAATTAGCCAAAAATAGGGCTCAAAGTGGGCAAAATCATCGAGGACTGCTAAATTCGCAAGAGCATAATTCCGTAAGTTTTCCATCAAATTTCATACTTTTGGTGTCCTTATGATTGGAAAAAATTCTCTATCATTTCATAAGATTTTTTTTTTTTTTTTTTTTTTTTCCAACAAATTTCTGACTCTGAGAACAAGTTTAGGAGAGGGCCTCGACCCTGAAAGGGTTAATGATTAGTGGTGATAAAGCACCTGCTGATCACGAAGCTGAAATGAGCTAAAATTTTATGTGAAACCACAAAAAAACATGCCAATATACAGGTGATTATTACAGATCTGCTAAATTTTAATCCTGAGCTTTAACCCTTTCACTATTGAGACCCCTGCTCACAAACTTGCTTTCAGTGTCAAAAATATTTAAAAAAAAAAAAAAAGATTCTTACCAAAATCTTATGAATAATTTCTGAGTGTTATAAAAGAGAAAAAAATTGCAGTCAGTAGTTACCAGAGATATGGAGGCATGAAGTTGACAGAAAGTGAACTACTAACAGCAGCATCAGCGACTGCCACTCTCTCAGTAATATTATTTTTACTTTTATTTATTCTTTTTTTATGATTATTTTATTATCACACTGGCCGATTCCCACCAAGGCAGGGTGGCCCGAAAAAGAAAAAACTTTCACCATCATTCACTCCATCACTGTCTTGCCAGAAGGGTGCTTTACACTACAGTTTTTAAAACTGCAACATTAACACCCCTCCTTCAGAGTGCAGACACTGTACTTCCCCATCTCCAGGACTCAAGTCCGGCCTGCCGGTTTCCCTGAATCCCTTCATAAATGTTACTTTGCTCACACTCCAACAGCACGTCAAGTATTAAAAACCATTTGTCTCCATTCACTCCTATCAAACACGCTCACGCATGCCTGCTGGAAGTCCAAGCCCCTCGCACACAATATTTTTTTCCAGTAACTTTGTGGCCTGTGAGACAAATACAATGCTTGTTTTGTTTTTAAAACAAGTCGGCTGTCTCCCACCGAGGCAGGATGACCCAAAAAGAAAGAAAATCTCCAAAAAAGAAAATACTTTCATCAGCATTCAACACTTTCATCTCACTCATACATAATCACTGTTTTTGCAGAGGTGCTCATAATGCAACAGTTTAGAAGCATATACCAATAAAGATACACGACATATCCCTCCAAACTGCCAATATCTCAAACCCCTCCATTAACCCTTTCAGGATTGGTGCCGTACTAGTACTGCTTGCACGCCAGGGTTGGTACCATACTAGTACGCATAAATCTAGTGGCTTCAAATTAGATGTAGGCCTAGATGTGATGAGTGTGCACGGTAGGAAAAAAATTTGGGACCCAGTGGCACATTGTGGGAACGCCATTTTAGTACATCTTGCTCACCATGCCTCGTGGTAAGAAACTCCTCACTACTCGGCAA